GTAGAAGTTTATTCATATTGTTAAAATAGTTTTAGTTTTCAATATTTTATAGAATGAGATGTCCTTTCTTGTGCATGATGTACTCAGCCTTGTGTCATGTATCTCTCATATGCTGTATTTTGATACGATCTCTGTGATGTCACTTCGATGCTATCATTAAATCGAGTCCTAATTAGTTCGCATTCTTCGTCTGAGTAGGGAAGAATGTCATTGGAAGTTCTATACCGTAGCAGCTTTCTAAGCTTGCAAGACTCCGTTAAATTCCATGCTTTTGTACTTCACGGACTCAGTTCATCTTCAGTGATCAATTGTGCTTTCAATAAGACCTGAGCAACTGGCCAAGAAACTTTAAAGTTATATTTTGGAATACGACAGCAAGCAGCATATGTGGATTCCAAATCACTGTGCATTTGATCCAACGGCAAATGTTTGTGGAAAGCACGTAGAGCATCTGCACATCCATTTTCTGTTTCTATCTGAGCGGCAATCCTTTGAGCATTTTCCTTCACCTTTGGGTTCGAGATGAATTGAATGGCATTAACGAGATCTCGCGTATTAAGATTATCACCGGATAAACAACCGGGACCTGCGCCGATTTGTTCTACCCTATCGCCCCAAAAGAATTGATCACCGAAAAACGCAACAACGATTGTTGGTAAGCCTGCACGAAGTCCAGCTGCTGTTGTACCGGCACCACCATGATGACAAACGCTATCCACTAGAAGAAATAAAATAGATATATTCGAGGCCAGAATGTATGATCAATTATAGTGTTGAAAACCTTGCCAAAGTTTTTTTAACGATAATATACAAAATTGATTGTTACCCGTACTCATTCTGGTTTCAAGTTTCGTCAAAAAAGTTTTTCGAAAAAAGCTATGGATCGACAAGTGCTCTACATCACAAGAATACTATCTTCATGGTCTTATTGGTTTCTAGTTGATGCTGAGACAAGAGTATCATTTTTAAGCTTCCTAGATAATCAACTAGCTTATATTATTTTCAATGTCGCAACAAGCTTAAAATTTATATTGTTTGATAGTCATCTATGTCTGAATTGCTCCAAAAATGGACTACAAAATGTTTTTGTTCGTTACTTCACATAATAAAATAAATTATTTGACTTATATTAATGTCTTGATGCTTTTTTTGTTTATACATGTCGATATACTTTGCAACACTAGTAGGGCGCGAAAATCGACATAAAGGTATTTTCAAAATTGTGTTCTTTTCTGATAAATGACTCAAGAATCATTCCAACTGACGATATTAGCCACAAACGTAACCGGTACTTACCTCTTTGAAACAACCATTCGTATGGACATGGACGACATCGGAAGATATTGGCCGGCAATTCAATGTCATCGGTGGCTAGTGAGTCACTAACCACTGCTCGTCGTCCAGTTATCTCTAGAGCATCTCGAACAATTTTGAACAGCTTATGTGGATTATAGCCGACAACCGAACCAAATCCAATGTAAATTGGTGGATTACCATTGTTCAAAAAGTCGGTAAATTTCTGCGGTGGTTGGTAATTGGCTGCACCATCAAGAAAGAAAAAACCACAAACATCAATGTTAGAACCCCAGTCACTCGGCTTGGGAACAAATGAAGGCGACCAGCAGTAAATGACTCTTCACCTATTTTGTCATCAGTCATAATGATTTTAGTGGTTCTAAATGATGAACGCATCGTTCTTGAACAATTCTAAGATATGAGGGGTATCGCTCATCATGAGATGTGCTTCTTCGCGTTTCAATCGAGGAAGTTGCAATACATTTTCACGAAAATTGTTGATTATAGTGCCCAAACCCGTCCAAATCTAAAACGAAATATTGTTCTGGCTAAATCGAGAGAAACTCAGAATGTTCATTTAAAAAGTGCACAAACTTATGATTGAGAAATAGCGGAATTTCTTTTAGAATCAGTTTTCACCTTCTGAGTGTTCGCTTTCAAGGTTAAACAAACTTTATTTCTTAGACAAAAGAACTGTCTTTTAGCTTT